AGACGGGGTTCCCAGGGCTGCAGCTGCCCCCCACTGCGCACACAGCCGCTCCCCAAGAGCCGTCAGTACACAGGTGCGCAAAGACACTGTGGAATATTACACAGCCAGGAAAAGGGGTGTCTGTCTCGCAGATAACATTCACTCTCGACTGACCCATCTGGCTCATACGTGGAATCTAAAAAGATAGAACAGCCCTGTCCCCGCCGCCGAAGCCCCAGGTGCCATTTCGACTGCTCGGTAATCAATGAACAGAGGAAACAAAAGACCCCGCCCGGCGGGCTCAGTCACCTAGGACCACGTGCATGCCGAGCCTGGCCAGCTGCTTGGCCGTGGAGTAGCCGATGCCGTCCGTGCCGCCGGTCACCACAGCCACGCGATCCGGTTGCCGGGGGAAAACTGAGGAGAGAAAAGAAGGACGGGAATCAAAACAAAGACTCTGTTTTATTTCCGTCGCGTTTGCAGGGCCAGGGATTGAGCCAGCTCCGCCTCTCGGGGCTGTTCCCTGCTCTTTATGATTCTGCTTTCAGACAGAGTCTGCCGTGTCTCTGTTGCCCAGCGTGGGCTCCAGTTTGCGATTCTCCTGCCTCAGCCTCCTAGATCCCAGTGCTCGGGAGGCTGAGGCAGGAGGGTCGCAAGCTCAAGTCCAGCCCGGCACGGGTGCCCCCTCAGCCTGACACCCGCAAAGCCTGAGCGTCACAGAAGCACGAGGCTCTTCCCAGGCACACGCCACACCCGCGCATCCCCACAAACCTGAGCACACGCGTGCGCACTCACACACGTACGCACACATGCATGCAAATGCCTGCAGGTAGCACAGGGCCGTAGTCGGAGCTGCCGTCTACACCGCAAGCTCCAGGACCCGGGTGGACAGCAGCCAGGCCACCAATCGCCACCCAATGGGACTCTGCGGAGCCAGAGGAATGCAGCCAGAACCGGCCACGCTGCAGGCTGGGCCCGGCCTCACCCCGACGTGCCAGTCTGTCACCAGCCCCTGCACGGCCACAGACGCGGGGGGCAGCAGGACTCGGGGTCTCAGTTGCCCCGGCCTCGGAGATCGTCGCAGGAATTCCGTGGCATCAGCCACCAAAGCCACCTGTGGATCCGTGTCCTCAGCGAAACGCAGCGGGCCCCAGCTCACGGGGGCGGCCTGCGCATGCGTGTCTGGCCTCCCGGGCTGTGCCTCGACGTCCCCGGAGGTGCGGTCTGCGGAGCGGCCGGCTCTGGGGCGTGTGGGCGCGGATTCGGCGCAAGAGCCCCAAGTCAGCCCGCTGATTGGCTCAGCGCGGTTCTGGGTGTGGCCAGCCACAGCCAATGGGCTTGAGGCCTGGGCGGGACACGGGAAAGGGAGGCGGGGCTACCTGCCGCCCCCGCCCCCCCCACGGGCTGGTTGAGCTCTGACGACTCCCTGCCTTGAACGCACGGAAACTTACACACCCCTGAACAAAACAATCCTTTCTTCCTCGGAGATGGGTATCCGGTGTTGTGACTCGAGGACCAGAAAGAAACTAAGATATAGGCACAGATTCAATCAGGCCCTTTAGAAAAGCAAAGGACAGGAGAGGAGAGGGCAGGGGAGGGCAGGAGCGAGGGCGCACGGAAGGGGAGGGGAAGACGCTCGGGCACGGCAGGGAAGCGGAGGAGCCAGCGGCCAGG